CCCCCCCCCACGGTTCAGTGCCACGTGGAGATGCCATTTTAAGTCAGGTATGACTGCTGACCTAAAGGGCATTTCATGTTCGTGTAAGGAAATACCTGGTCCTACACAGGGTCCATCACCTAGTGTGCAAGAAGCCAATCCACACACAGAGTCAAGATATTTGCTTTAAATATAGAGTTCTGCACAGAAAAGGGAGTAGGATACTATTACACAAAACAAGCTCAGCTTCCTGAAACACAAGTGCTACTTATATACACAAAAGGGAGAGAAAGAACTTTAACATTATTCTATCACTCACACACACAATTGGTCAACTAATCCCTTGCTTCCATTTAAACTGGCAATGCTCAGGAATTTCATTATGCATGCTCAAAGAGTAAGGGGCTTGTTGTTAGTAGGGGTTTCTCTAGCCTGTGGGTGTGAATTTTAGTATGTTAATAGTGCATTAATATGTTAATGCCATGTTAATATGGTGATTTCAATTACTCAGTGTTTTCTACCTAGTGCTCAAGGCTATAACCAAGATAAGTTGTGGGGAGTACACCTTTCCATCCCTTTCACCTGTCTTGCAGATGTCTTGCAGGCCTGTCTCAAGCTTGAGCTACTGATTTCTTGGGGTGTTTTTCTCTACTTGGGATCTCTTTTTTTTCTAATTCTTATTTTTTCAATGTTATGTAAGCTCTGTTTTTATTCTGCACATCCCTTATATTCTCTTTTATGTGATTTTTCCCCCAGTGTGATTTTTTCCCCCAAAATTTTACTTATTTCAATTAATAACTGACATCACTGGTACAGGCTGTGACCCCCATGACAGGCCAAGAGCTCCCACTGTTGGAAAATAACTCAGAAATTTAGAATGATGTGATTATTTTGTGCAAGATGTACTCTCTCTATATATATGTACAAGCTAGGTTGGATGAGGCTTTGTGCTCAGCCTGGTCTACTGTGAGGTGTCCCTGCTCATAGCAGGGGAGTTGGAACCTGATGATCTTTAAGGTCCCTTCCAACCTTAATCATTCTATGTTTCTATATACAAGTTAAAATTGCAGTTAGAGAGACACAATATCACAGCTAACACAGAATCACAGACTTCGAAGATCATTGAGTCCAGCTCCACTGCCAGAGCAGGACCAAAAAAACCTAGCACAGATCACTCAGAAAGGCATCCAGACAGTTCTTGAAAGTCTCCAGAGAAGGAGTTTCCACAACCTCTCTGGTTTTAATCCATTGCCCCATATCCTATCACAGGGCACAAGTGAAAAGAGCTTGTCTCTGCCTTCTTGATTCCCAGCCCTCATGTATTTATAGACTTTAATTAGATTCCCC